TAAATCCCCAATTTCTCTATCATTGCAATCCAACATTGAAATTACAGAAATAAAATTGAAATCAAAGAAACCAATTCTCGTAGCATGACTCATGCCTCGTCAAATTAAGCATATATGCATGAATCGAAGATGGTGATGTTGTTGTGTTGCATCTTGCTTTGGTTTTTTTTTTTTTTTTTTTTTTAATCTGAATATAGACAATTTAAAAGTAACGAAATATCATCCGTAGAACAATTCATGAAAGATTGAAAGCTGACCTCCACTTGAACAACCAATAGTTTCGGCAACTAAGGCACGGGGATCTTGAACCAAGATATTTATACATTTTTAGTTAGATGAAGTATAAATGTCCCTGGCCTGTATGCTGTTGACAGGTGACAGGGAAATTAAGGGCCAATTCAAACCGTGAGTAAAATCAATGAATTAAATAATTTAGTATTTTTTTTAATTAAAAAATAAAAATTTTTAAATTTAAATAATATAATATATGAATAAAATAAAATAAAATAAAAATTATTATTTTTTATTATATAATTAAAATAAAAAATAAAAAATATAAAGACTGATATTATTTAAATAATTTAATAATAAAATATTTGAATAAAAATAAAAAAAATTTAATTTAAATTATGTAATATGTAAAAGAAATAAATTAGGAGATGACAGAAGAAGATAATGAGATAAAGACATTCACAGACTTATCATCACTCAAAACAACGCTCTTAGAAGACAAGCGAAAATAGACATAAACATCTCACGAATATATTCCAGGAAAGCCTTAAGCAGTTCAAAGACACTCATATACTCATAGTAGAGCCAGAATCAGCATAATGCTTCTTATTCCATGGATACTTAGAACAGCTCAAACATGATGATTAAGTTAATTATTCATCTTCCTTGTCCTCATTATTGATCCCGTCAAGGATGACGACTAAGGCCACAATGAACGCATAATCCACATTGGGATACACCGTCACCATGAACTTGCCCTTTCCAAGCACCACACTTTGAATACTGTGTTTCTTGTGCATCTGTAATTAACAACAAACAAATTAATTAATTAATTAATGCTTTGAACATATACAATAAAGAACAATCACTTCTCTCCACCTTACCTCACTCGATATCTGTAATTTTTCAGTTTAAAGAACTGTTTGAATTAATGTTCTCAATATAATTAATAGTTGATATTTAAAAATCGATAATTATTATTATTTATAACTTAAAATATCTAATATATATTTTTTATTATTATACAATGAAAAATAATTATTTTTTATTATTTATCCTAATCCATTTAGTTAATTAACAAAATATCTAATGCATTTAATTAAAACCAACAATTGGTAGTTGTTTTTAAAGAGGAAAAACAAACACTCCTAAAGCAATCATTTTAATCATCTCTAAATTAAGATTAAGAATGATAATTCTTTCTCGTACCTGGGCAATAATTGTGTTGGACTCTCCTGCATAAATAATGCAGGATCTCTCCAGCCAACTTCCTTCCACCCTGAAATCACACACTTCCTCCTTGGTGTTGTTCGCCAAGAACACATGCAGTTTCGTCTTTAGCTGGATCAGCGACGATCGCTTCACCCTGAACAATAGATCTTTCTCCTCAGTGCTTTCCCCTCTAAACGCTTCCCATCGATCGTGTACAGTCATTAGCTGTAAGAATTACCCAGATCAATTGAAATACAGAGAAATACCAATTTGAATTACTGAAATTAATCGTGGGTTGAGATTGACCTTGGGTCGGAGAGTGACGATGGGAGTGCCGGCCGCATCAAGCATAACGCGGCGATCACGGATGCTGAGAAATTTGCCTTTGACTTGGAACATGATGTTGCCATTGATGTCCGTAACGGCGAAGTTGCCCTCGGTTAAGATATCACTCAGGACTTTTCTGACGACTTGGAGATCCACGGGATAAGGGGCGAGAAACTGAGGGCTGATGACGGTGATGGGATTTATCAACGGCGGAACACTCGGTTGGGCCATAACCACTCGGTTGCGAGGAGGTTGTTTTGATGGAAAGCAATAATCCAAGGATCGAATTTATAATGGGAATGGAACCCCAATGGGATGGATCGGGTGGGTTCGGTCCGTTCGGATTTAATCACTTAGAACATGTTGGTTAAGTCCCCGATTCAGTCCCTCAACTTTCATTTTTGGATTAAAACTACCCTCGAACTTCAAAAAGTACTAAAAATATCCTTGAACTTTAATTTTTGAAGCCAATTTTGTCCTTCCGTCAGTTAAGTGCTGACATGGCAAAATTTCCCGTTAACCAATTCAATTTTTATTAATATTAAATATTACTTGGAAAGAAAACAAGTGATGTGGCATTTTTAATTATAAAAATATTGTGACTTGCACCAAAAATATAATTTAATAAATAAAAAAATTTTTTCTTTCTTTTTTTCTTTCCTTTCCTCTTTTTTTCTCCTTCTCTTTCCTTTTCTCCTTCCCCTCCCCACTAGGTTTGAAGGAACCTAGCACCAACGCCTGGGTTCCTCAAACCCAGGCGTGGGTCGAGGAACCAAGCGTGCTGGGTTCCTCGAACCCAGGGCCTGAGTTCCTTCGAGCCTAGCACACCTGGGTTCGATGGAACCCAGGCGCGGGTTCCTCGAACCCAGGCCTTGGGTTTCGAACCCAGCGCCTGGGTTTGAGTCGAACCCACCTGGGTTTTTGTTCTGTTTCCTTGTTGGTTTGCTGCAGTCATGCTTGAATGAGATTTAGAGTTTTGTGTGGCTTCTGATTGCTTGAATTTCCAGATTTAGTTACTGTTGGTGTTGATTGAAGGGATATTGTGTTTTTTACATTTTTCTTTACAGGTCTGGTATAATTTGCAGAGGAATTGATTTTTTGAATTAGATCTATTGGTCATTATTATTGTGCGAGGAATCAGATTTAAGTTCTATTAGAGAGGAGGTTTGGGGAAGAAGTAGATGGTGATTGGAGTGGTAATAGATGATCGGAGCAATGAGGGATGACCGGAGCAATGAGGGATGACCGGAGTAATGAGGGATGATCGGTGCTGATTGGGTTGCAAGATGAGGGATGACCGGAGTAATGAGGGATGCCAACTCGTACACTTTTACATGTGGTTTTTCCATGTCATTAGTTGAAAAAAAATTGCTTGATTTCGTGGCAACTTAACGTGCCATCTGGCACTTCTGTCGACGAAAGGACGAAATTGGTCCCAAAAAATTGAAGTTCAAGGATTTTTTTAGTACTTTTTGAAGTTCGAGGGTAGTTTTAGTCTAAAAATGAAAGTTTAGGGACTGAATCGGGGTTTTAACCGAACATGTTTGGCACACTCGATAAATCATCATGGCATATGACATTTTTTGTTCCATCTTTGATGTAACTCACGTTTAGTGCGTTTAGTAAACGAGATAATTGATATTCCCTGTTTTGTCCCGTTCTATACTTATTGAACAAAATGTATTTG